AAATGCTTCATGCTAATTTAAAAAATGTATGCCCTTGTACTCTCTCATATATGGATTTTAGACATAGATCTGGGGAGTGCCAGCCTACAATCCCATGGCCAGACAGTCTGGGAAACAGAAACTTCATTCAGTGGCTGGTGGAAGAAGAGGCAGACTCCCACGGCTAAGCACTGAGCTGAACTCAAGAAAGCCAGTAACAGAGAGAGAGGACTGATGATCAAAGGGATTAAGACTGGGCTGGTTTAACCCCCCAGAAACAGCTGACCTGACAAAGGTTAACTCTTGAATCCAGCATGGGACTGATCAAGACTCACTGAATGTAGGTGTCAGTGAGGAGGCCTAGGTAATCTATTGAGCCTTGGGCAGTAGATCAGTATTCATCCCGAGTATACACATGGACTTTGGATTCCCATCCAACAATGTGAGATGCACTCTCACCCTGAACTCTTGGGGAAGGGTCTAGGCCCTGCCCTGGATGAAATGACAGACTATGGACACCCCCATGGAGGGCCTCACCCTCCCTGGGGAAATGAGGGGAAAATGGGGGGGAGGGTTGGGGGGGAGGGCACAGGAGGAGGGGAGGGAAAGGGAGAGGGACCTGGAACTGACTTGTGAAGCAACCTTGTCTCTAAATTTAAACTTAAAAATAAATAATAATAAAATAAAATTTAAAAAAGATCTTTAAAAAACTACTTCTACAGAGCCTCAATAAACATAAAGGAAATAGTGATTCTGAAAAAAATGTATGCCCTTGAAATTGAAGAAGTTTATTGATATTGTTTTAGGTGCAAAGTTTCAGGGACCCAGGGAGGTGGGAGAGTATCTGGGAGGAACTGGGAGAGGGGTAAATATGATCAAACTGCATTGCATACAGTTTTTGAGAATTATTGGAAATATTGTTATATAAGAAAACAAGGTGCTACCCCAAATCACAAAGTTGGAGTCTTCTGACAGATGTGGCTGAACAAGGTCTCTTCATCTTTCCACTGTTTGTTCATAAAACCCTGACCTTGATAGTCAGGAAGAACTCATTATGTTCTCATTTTGACATTTTCTATGGTGTCCAATAGAAGTATTATATAAGCCATATATATACACAATTATATATATAATTCTATAACTCTATGGTAACTACATGAAGCATGGATCAAGCAAAAATTAAATCAACTTTATCAGTGTATTTTATTTAACTCAGCATGTTGAAAACATAATTTCAACATATAATCGTATTTAAAGTCACCATGGAATGCTTTGCATTTTTTTCAGACAATACTTTTGAAACCCTAATGTACATTACACTTACACTTACAGTACATCTCAACTCAGACAAACCATTATTCCAACATTTAACAGCCCCATGTGGTCAAGGGCAGCTCTTCAGCGTACAGGTCTAGAGCATCTAAGGATTCATTTATCCGATGCTATCTTTCCTATGAGGGTTCATGCCATTTTATTATATCCTACACTCACTGAAGCTGAGACCAGTGTTTCCCATTCTTGTTGTGAATGCGCTGATGTAGGTGTGTGGTTGTGCTCAAACCATCCAGGCAGAGAGCAAAGTATCAGACTTTGGTGGACTCAAGTTTATTTCAATGTATCCTGAGTCCAATTCACTCCATTTTTGCAACACCAAAAATAATGAATAGTGCGTCCCAGAAAGACAGGACATCACTGCACAAAATTCAGTTAACCAAGATAAAAATCTTTACCAAAAAAAATTACACCTCAAATTTCAAGACATCTTGGAAACTTGGCCACAAATACAGGATGAACATGTCAACAGCGCAGGTTCTGCTATGGCATTCCCAGGAAAGGGAGAGTTGGAGAGGGGAGGGGAGAGAGAAAGAGAAAGCGATGGGAGAGGAACTTGACAATCAGGATTCTTCATCTTTGATACTTGAGCCTTATGGGGTGATTTGTATTTCCTCACATTTATTTCTATTTTCTGCTGGATTATATATTTTCATACATGTATGAGACATATCAACTTCTGTATGTGGCCATATGCAACCAAGGACAGCTGTGAATGCAGCCCAATCCAAAAATGTAAACTTACTTCAAACATGAGCATTTTCCTGCCATTTTGGTAATTCCATTGTGTGGTAAGCTTTATAGATAGTGCTATCTCTAACTGTCAGATGGGTGGACACCTGTGAACTGTTTCAGTCAGAGGCATGATGTTAAAGCATGTTCTGGGGATATAAATTCAGGTCTTAGTGTTTGCCAGTGGACACTTTCCTTACTGAACCATCTCCTCACCCCTCATATTTCTGTTGGACAGCACAGAAAATGTCAACATAGAAAGAAAAAAAATTCTTCCTGATCATCAAAGGCAGGTTTTTACCTGCAAACAACAGAAAGAACAAGAGATCTTTTGTTATTACAGTTGAGAAAAGAACTAAGCTAAAGTGTTTCAGTTTAGCTTGAAAAAAAACGAGAATTGAACATACTTTGGGAATTTACTGCATGGCAGAATCTTTACATCAGTCTGTAGCTAGCCAAGCTTTGTGGGTATTCACAAGCAGTCGGTTGGTGGGAAAGGTTCCCAATTTGCAGGAGGTCTTTTGTGAGTTTTATTGTCAAGGTTTTTATGAGATTTGTTACATGGTCATTAAGGGTAGATAAAACGTTCTCATTAATGTTCTGAATGTACAGTTCTACCTCAGCCTTCTTAGCAGGGATGAGTATCAGAATCCCTGTTTAACCTATGCTTAATAGGACAGGAATATTTATAAGAATGAGAAAAAAAGTAGATGCATTGAAACTCAGTTACTCTAATGTTGAGGTATTTTGGGGGGGTTTGTTTTCTTTTAGACAGCAAGAGGGTAAATCCTGTTAATAGCCTGTGAACTTAGACTCATTCTTTCCCAGAGGCTCCTCCAAATGAGAACACAGCCTAGCTAACTGCTGGCTGCAGCTTTATGAGTTTCCAATGAAAATTTCTCAGGATCATTTTTCAGACTCCTTGTCAATGGAAACTATGACGTAATATCGCTAAATGTATAGTTGTTTTTTCTAAACAGACAAGTGGGGAAACAAAGAAAAATAGAAAAAAAAACAGGCTTCTTTATCAGTTAATTCCCTTTAATTTTTTTCTGAGACAGGGTTTTTCTGTATTGTTTTGGAGGCTGTCCTGGAACTTGCTCTGTAGATCAGGCTGGCCTCAAACTCACAGGGATCCGCCTGCCTCTGCCTCCCAAGTGTGGGATTAAAGGCTTAATTCCCTTTAATTTTTACTGTTTTGTGATTCTTTTAAAAGTAAGGGCAGCTGCTGGATTTTTACGAATTACCCTCCTTATTTTACTGAATCTTAAAGATTTGGAGTCAGCAACCTTCTGAAAAGGGGGCAGGTAGTAAATAGTGAGGTTCACAGGACATTAGCTGTGTGTCAGGGCTGTTCATCCCCACTAGTATGTCTCAGGAACACCAGGAGACTCTGTGCAAATGACTGGACCTTGCTGTGCCCAAGGAGCTGATTATAAAATCTGCATGTATCCAGCTCTGGACTTGGGCTTTGGTTTGCTGCCCTCTGTTAAAATTATAGAATTCCCCCCCTTATATTGTTAAAATACATCTATGGCTTGTTTAATACTGAACCATACCTACCCACTTTACTCAGACAATTTTTGAGTGTACTCCTGGAATTACCTTTTAAATGTTATTTTAAAATTTAACATTTCTGTTCATAATTAATATTTGTTATTTGGTTTCTGTGTTCAACTCTGTTATTTTAGCCTCATAAAATGAATTGGATAGTTGTTACAAGTTCTTAACATACTAGTAAAAAATCACAGGAATTATATTCTCTTAAGGGTTACAGAAGCTTTTTGTTTTTTATGCTTTCTAAAGTTAATTAGTAATTTTTGCTTTGGCAGGTTTTGGGATTTGGGCTGTGAAGACATTTCCAAGAAATTATATTCTGAAGAAAGGGTGACAACAGAGGCACCTGCCTCCCAGGAAAAGATTTCATACCTCTAACAACTTGTTCAATCACCTCACAGGACAGAATGGGCCTTAGACTGTGATAGGCTGGACCATACCTTGACTAGAAATGCTCATTGATAAGTCCCTCTTGCCTTCTACTGAGACTTAAACTTCATATCAGTACCCCCACACACAGACTTGGGGGGTCACTGGGCCCCTGTAGTCCTCTTTGCAATGTGGCCAGTGTGCAGAAACCTCCTTTCTCCATTCTTCATGATCAATTGTCTCTTTAATTGACATGTTGGGGATGGGTAGCTGACCCCAGCTTCTTCAGGCTGCTGGAAACCAGGCTTGGATGCCAACAACTCTGGTAACATTGTTAAACATGACAGCCAAATACTAGAAACCAACCATGTTTTCTCTTGTCTATGATGTCTACTCATTTCTCAGAGTGAGTCAGATGTTTTAATTACCTGCATGTTTGTAATTTTTTCATCAATATTCTGCCAATCAGAAAACATTCCAAGAACTGATAGAAGAGACCAACTAAACCAACCTCTTATGTTGATGATTTGAACACACTGAACATGTACACACACTACTGACAGAAAAATGTTTCATTGTCAAATGCAAAAAAATAATACTTAAACCTTGGTTGTTGCTAAATGTCCTTAAGTTGCTAGATTCATTTAAAAGTCTTAAAGGTTATTCATTGAGACCAAACATGGGAGTGCATATCTTTAATCTTAGCACTTGGAAGGCAGAGGTAGGAAACTATGAGTTCAAGGCCAGCCTGGTCTACACAAAGTTCTAGGTCAGCTGTGACTACATAGTGAGACTTTGACAAAAAAAAAAGAAAGAAAGAAAAACAATCATGCATACTATGGTTAAATAGCTGCCTGTTTTCTCCACTTTCTTGAGGGCTATGGCTAACTCTTAGTGGCTGTAGATACAGCAATAGTCTATGTACACATTTTATATTTAGCTTCGGTGGGAGTAACACTATTTTAATTGCTTGTTCTAGACAAAGTCAAATAAGACTGGGGTTTCGAATTATGTGCATGCAAAGCAGGTACCTCACACCAGTCGAAAGATGCATCAGGATTGTTGCAAAGTTTCCTGTAAAAACATTTCACATCTTGATTTTTCACTTCAGGGCCAAAGAGCTGCTGCACTGTGGCATAAAACTTGTCATAATCAATTGCATCTGCGGTGGGGAAAGCACAGGAACATTTCGTCATACCCCACGGGCAGAGCTTCACACTTCATGTACATTTCCCACCCTAGGGGCTCATCTCAGCCCATAAAACCAACTGTTAGGGACCTTAAAGATCGTGTATTGGGGAAAATTAAGTGGGCCCTGACTAGAATATTATTCAGGAAGAATAAATCATTTTTTATTTTGGTGTTTAGGACTCTCTTGTTTCAGCTATTTTAGAAAGACCGTGCATGAATACAAAGATAAGAAAGTTATGTTTTCTTACTGTGAACACATTTACCAGTTGGAATCTTCCTTAGAATTTATCTTAGATCTGTGCACAGAGCAATTATTGGTTATCTGACATTATGTAAACACACGCGCACGCGAGCACACACACACACACACACACACGCACGCACGCAATTACTTGAATCTTGATTTTTGCCAAGTTTATTAATACATTTGGATGGGATTACTAAATCTCAAGAAAGAGTTAAATAAAAGAATTCCTCAAATTGTATATAAAAAATCCTGTTACTTTATTTAACTTCGTTATATGTGAGCACTTAGCTAGACATTGGACATAAAATGGAAAACTATATAAGCAGTGTTTACTGACATTTCCACAACAAAAAAGAGAGACCCCCTACATTAACACTCTATAAGACTCGTGTGAACTTCAATTATTTGGTCCAGAGCCAAATTAACTTCGGCTTTAGCCCATTAAATAGCCATTTATTGTGCATCTCTGTGATCTCTTTGTTACTATCAGTAAATCCTTTTGGAATGTATGAACAGAACCTCTACTAACCCAAACGCTAAGAATGTCAGCAGGTGACATCTGAAGCCTGTATCAGAGGTTTCCCACTTTGTTTTAACCACCTACTTGGTGTTCCCATTGGTGTAATTGAAAGATAACCTTACTTATGACTCTTTTGCTCTATAACTATAAACCTTCATTAAACTGTTATTTTGAAACATGGTGTTTGAAATAACCCAAGTCATTCTCCAAAGGTCACTTGACACTAGAATAAACTATTTCTTATTCTCTATAATATGGAAGATTTATTCTAGAGATGCAGGGATGGTTCAACATAAGTAAATTAATATATGTAGTAAATCACATAAATTGACTTAAAGACAAAAGTGACCCGATCTTCTCTTTAGATGAAGAAAAGGCTTTTGCCAAAACCCAACATGCCTTCAGGGTAACAGCCCTAGAGGGAGCATACTTCAACATAAAAATGCTATATGTGAAAAACCCACAGCTGACATCATCCTAAATGAAGAAAATTTTGAAGCAATCCCACTAAAACTAGAAATGAGAGGGCTGTCCATTACCCCCACTCCTTTTCAATATAGTGAGCACGAGTTAGAGAAATAAAGGGAACAGAGAGAAATTAAAGGTATATAAGTAGGAAAATAAGTAGTCAAATCATTGTTACTTGCAAATAATATGATATTATACATAAGAGATCCCACAAGTTTCACTAGAAAACATTTTTTAAATGTGGCAGGATACAAATCAACTTACACACCTAGCAAGTAGCTAATGGTGAGCAGGCTAAGAAAGAGATCTCAGAAACACTCCCAGTTGCAATAGCCTCAGGAATTGTCTAGGATTGAACCTAATACATTTTAGTCTCCAAAGACAGAGACTGAGGAAGACACTGGAAATTGGAAAAACCTCTCATGCCAATGGTTTATAGAATTAATGTGAAAAATGATCACCTGGCCAAAATAAGTTTACAAATTCAATACCATCCTAATAAAACTCACAACAACATTCTTCACAGAAATAGAACAAACCATTCCTAAATTTATATGGAGGCACAAAAGACCTGCATAGACAAGGCAATCCTAAACAACATTGCATGAGTCATCGTACCAGAGCTCCAGCCATATTACAGAGCTAAACTAACACAAAGAGGATTGTACTGACACCAATATACATATGTAGACTAGTGGAAGAAAATAAAAGAACCAAACACGATACTGATACATCCTTCTGATACTTTACCAAGATGTCAAAAATGAATCTTGTGGGAAAACATCTTCATAAAGTTGTGCTGGGAAAGGGGATGCCCTTAAGTAGAAGAATGAAAGTAGACCCGTATGTATCACCTTGCACAAAGCTAATTTTAAGTGAATCCAATACCTAAATATGAAACCTGAAACCCTAAAACTGCTAGAAGAAAATATAGGCAATGCCCTACAAGATTCAGGTGCAAGAAGGGATTTTATGAATAGAACTCCATTTGCTCAGGTCAACAACTGACAAATGGGACCTTCATAAAACCAAAAATCTATACTGCAAGGGAAACAATTGCATGAAGAAGTAGTCCACAGAATAGGAGATGATTTTGTCAGCTATACATCTGAGAGAATTAATATCTAGAATATACAAAGAACTCCAAAACTGAAGAATCATGTAAACAAATGGCCCAATAGAAAAATTGCCTATGGATCTGAACAGAGAATTCTCAAAAGAAGAAATGAAAATTACTAAGAAATATTTTTTAAAGTGTTCAGTATCCATAGCAATCACAGAAAAGGGAAATTTAAAACTACTCTGAGATTTCATCTCACTCCGGTCAGAATGGCTAAGTTCAAGAAAACAACTGACAAGTGCTGAAAGAGACTACTGGAAGTGGGGTGGGAGGTGGAGGGGTGGAGGCACTTAGGGGTCAGATACAAACCTGGCTAAGGGAATCTCCCAAGAATCTACAAGGATGACCCCAGCTAAGATTCCCAGTAATAACAGACACTTAGTCTGAACTGTGACCAGGTTATGTAGTTATTTTAAAGATACACATTCTATCTTAAATGCACCTGGCTGGGCAGTGGGGGTGGGACTTAATCATGGGGTGATCTGAATTCTATTAGGTCTTCAGTGAGATCTAAGAGTAACATATCCAGGACAGATCTCTGTAGTCTACTTAGCCTCCCTCTGAGGCAGACACCTCTCCATTGAAATATTCTTAGCTCCTTTCCTACCATAAAGAGTTAACCCTTTTCTTCCAGTATCTATTAACAATTACAAACGTATTTGTATAGTATTAGCAATTTGGTGCAAGTTAGGGGTCCATCTTTCCCATCTCCTCACTCCGTAGATCTTGTCCCTCAGACACAGAAGGCTATTTGTCTAGGAGATTAGTTTTTATCTAATCTTAAGAACTTCAGAGGAAAAACTTTGTACCACAGATCTGGGGTTGCAAGGTTTTGGAAGAAAGCAAGGCTAGCTTGTTTGTTTAATGCGTGTTTCAGACGCATCTCCTGAGACACCAGGCTTTGAGCTGGCCTTACCTTTGCAAAATCTTCAAAACAGGCCAATGGTCAAGGAGTAAGTACATATCAATGTCAGCAGGCTAAATAAAGCAGGCAAATTCCCGGAGACAGCAATAAATGCAGTAAGAATGCTGAGGAAGGCTTTGCTTGGGGGACGTTTGGCAAACAGTCTGCAAAGAGGTGGCATTCTATTTTCTTGAAAAATTGAAGGTGAGAGGGACTGGAGAGTTGTTCAAATTGGGAGAATGGAAGATATAATTAGTCACTGAAAGCACAACAAAAGAAATAATTTGATAACTGTTGATGCAAATTACAGCTTTTATCTCAAAGGAAATAGAAGTTTATTTTGAATCAGGTATGAGTGACCATAGCTTGGGAACAGATTCAAGTTACCCTGAATAACATGTTCCAATGTGGAAGTGGTTAGCTTTCATAGTCACAGAACAAAAGCAAGTCATAAATCAAGGCATTTATCAAATACATTGGTAGGAATGTCAAAGTGGGCAAAGCTCTGCCACTGGTTTCGATGCCATCTGCAGACTTTCTGCTTTGGGTTTGGTCAAGGACAGTGCTCTGTTAATATAATCCTGTGTGACAGGGGGAAGGATACTAACTCCTGTGTGGGTGGTCAACCAGCCTTGTGGAATTTTTAGCACAGATTTACCTTTTTTCTATTTTCTGAGAAGGTCTGTTCAGGGATGAGGATGTACTTACCTTGCTACAGTTTCAGTTTACAAAGAGAATAACTAAACGACTTCGAAAACTGTGACATACTTAGAAATGCCGAAAAGGGTCAAAGGTTCCAGAAGCTGACAATGGAAAGGCAGGTTGAGGCATGGCTGGCGAATGGCTGTGCACACCAAGTCAACATGTAGGGGTTTTAAAGATGGGTGAGTAAACTAGGAATACGACAGGCCCATGTGTTTTTGTTTTTAAAGGAAAAAACTCCATAGAGAAATATACAGGAAGGATTAAGTCTTTGGCTGGAAGACTAACAGTAGGTGTTGTAATGACCCGAGAGAACCATCATGACATACTCAAAGATACTGATACATGACTTAGGAGACTAGGCAGCTGACATGCATGCCATAGGACTTGGCCAAGAGCATACTAGGCAAAAACTCAGAAAGAAAAAAGAAAAGCAGAATGAGAAATGTGCAAAATCGGAGGAGAGTGGTACGGAGGAAAAGAGGTGTTTCTCAATGCAAAGGCAGAACTCAGAGTTAATGCAGTGAAATGGCCATGCTTGCTGCAGAAAGGGGAAACTAAGTCACAAATGGTGGTGCACACCTGGAATCCCCAGCACCGTAGAGGCTGGAATTAGAGGATACTGAGTTCCAGGCTAGCCTGGGCTACATAGTGAAAGCCTGTCTTAAAGAAAAAAGAAGAAGAAGAAGAAAAGAAGCCCAACTTACTGAATTTGGCAGCCATATTAGGTACTGCAGCAAAGTGAAGGAAGCAAGACTGGAATAGATGAGAATAGAGGCATTGATACTGGGGGAAATTTAGCAGAAAAACAAAGAGACATGGAGCGATAGCTTAAGGGAAGAGACAGTCAAGGACACAATGCCAGAGGCTCTTTTTAGACTCAAAGGATAAAGTCAGTGGAAAGAGATTTTTGAGATTGTTACAGCAAACTGATAGTGTTGGAGATGAGTGGGGATGGATGCTGTTTTGGGAAGAAAGGGCTAGAGGGAAAGAGAGAGTGAGCAGATTCCTGGCTTTGTACCTGGCTTGCTCCTATGATAGGAAGCTTGGCTGAGAGGAGCAGAAATCCCATCAAGGATTCAGAAACATGATGAGGGTTTGGAGAATCAATCACAGGAGGAGGAAAAACAAGCTGACTGGAGGAAAACAAAAGCTTTGTCGAGCAGTTTTATGGGCCCAGCCAAGAGCACAGATCTGGAGAGCATACTAAAATGTCTGAGCCCTCCAGACATTTAAATGACTAGAGCAGGTGAGTCCTCTCTACCTTCCATTGTCTTCTCAAGCAAAGTAGACTTAACTACAATATTATCTGCTCATACTGTCATGCCAATCAAACGAACTTGTGCTTATTCAATTGACCTGCAGATTAGGAAATACTACTACTGTTTGAGCAATACTCTTTGAGTCTGACCAGTTAGGTCAAGAGTTTCACTTACATGGGACTATACAGCCCAACACTTACAAGCTGTCTATGTAGCTGTCTATGCTTATGCTTTTATTACAACACTTAGACTTATTCTGTTGGATTTATTCTACTGTTATACAACTTTATTCTTCATTGTTGTCTTAACACTCCCAAACTACTCACTCTCCTGCTCCCCTGACTATGACACATTTTAGACTTCACTCTTCTCAAACTCCTGAATGACTACATCCTCCATATGCCCCTTCCTTCAGCAAATTCAAATCATCCCTGCCTGCACAGTGTCCAGAGACTGAAATCACAGTGAAACAGGAAACTGTGAATTGTCTAGAAAAGTCCTTATGGTCTCTTGATGCTCTCGTGTGAAGACATGGGAGGGTGGCTACCTTGGTTTGGATACATACTCCCCAGAGACTCGTTTGTACTAAAAGCTTGATCAACATGCTTCAACAGTATTGTGTAGCGAAGGAACCTTTGGAAGGCAGGGCTAGTGGAAGGAAGTTAGATTATTGGGTACATGCCCTTGAAGGAGCTATTGGGACCCTGGGCTCTTCCGGTCTTTTCCAGCTGCCATAAGGCGAACAGCTTGTATCATATGGCCCCATCATAACTAATACTCTTACGATAGGTCCCACAGCAGCAGGCCATCCAGGAACCTCCAAAACACTTTTTTCTTCTTGAGTTGATTATTTAGGACATTTTACTACAATGCCAGAAAGCTGGGTAGCACTAAGACACAAAGGGCCTCTCACATGGTCACCATGCTATACAGAATCTCAGGCCAGACAGTGGCTGATAGCATCTGCAAAAGAACCCCTTAATGCCATTTTAATCTACTTCTCTATATTACAGACAGAAAAGGTATGTTAGAGACAGAGAATGAACTCAGGTCCCCTGCCCCCATCCAGTGTCTTAGCTTTTAAACGAGACTGATGTTCTTCGATGACCTAAAACATCCCCCAGTTCTAATCAGCAGCTCCAGATGGACTTCCCTGTAATTATCCATCTTACCTTCTTTGGGGATAAACAACCCTGCTCTTTCATCCTTTTTTTGGGCTGTTGTATGTTCAACTAATTTATCGAAATCAACCAAGGCTGCTTTGAAATTGTTAATCTGCAGTGCAAGGCTGAACCGCTTGTCATCTTTGGTATCCATACAGACATACAGAACTTCTTAATTCTGCACGGAAATAATGCCAATGTTGAAAAGCTTCTAGTTCTTCTAGTGCCTCCCTGCTGTCTCAACTTTTGCCCTAGGTCTCATTCCTTTGATTTTAAATTCCCATTCCATGGGAATAAGGAGTAAGAGTTTCCCCTAGGATGTTAGCAGAAGGAAAGCTGAGGCTTGCTTCATCTCACAGAGACAGGGGTGTTAGTGAGGGGCCCTGACCTCATAATGTGAGCATTGTCCTTCATGTGGACCTCACAACACTGCAGTATCTCTGTAAGTCTTATAGCAGATTGAAATCACCTCCTTCAGGGTGTGTGTGTGTGTGTGAGTGTGTGTGTGTGTGTGTGTGTGTGTGTGTGTGTTGGGCTTAAAAAGGCCCGGACTCAGGCCTAGTGGAATTTCCTGAGCCTGGCTAGAGTTTGGAGACCTGTCTCTGAACTATCACTTCCCTATAGTAGTGACTCAGCAAAACTGCCTCTGCCCAGCTACTGCTAACGTGGTGTGTGTGTGTGTGTGTGTGTGTGTGTGTGTGTCTGTCTGTCTGTCCATTGAGAAAAGGATGCATAAAAACCAATAACTTTCCTCACAATGAATGTCTCTTCTCACTGTCAACTTCCTGACTCCCTTATGGTACTAGGGAGAGAAACATTTACATTTGTTCCCACAGCACTCCTGGATGTGAGGATGAAAATGTATTTCATCACCTGTCTTACTTGGCACAAATAAAGATATTTTTAGAAAATGTGGAGAATAAAAATGTTTCTTTTCTCTTTATTCATTTACCTTGAATTAAAATACTAAAAGGAGCCATGGATGAGGAAGGCATCCTTGTGGGGAGAGTTTTTCCAGAGGAGTCAGGCCTTTCTGATTGCCTTTTCCTTCAGTACTAACATCTAATTCTACCGAGTCCAACTGTTCACTTCTGACTCAAGTTTTTCAGTCTCCAACTTTGTGTGTATGCGCACACACGCACGCGTGTGTGTGTGTGTGTGTGTGTGTGTGTGTGTGTGTGGTTTAGTATGTGTGTGCACATGTGCTTGCTGGTATGTGCACACAAGAAGGCCTGAGGATGATACTGGACATTTTCCTTAATCACTCTCCACCTTAATTTTTGGCATAGGATACCCCTGAACCTAGAGGTGTGTTGGCTGGCCATCAAACCCTAAGGATTCACCTGTCTCTGCATGCCCAACACTAGTATTACAGGTGTCTAACCCACAGTGCCTATGTTCTTATGTGGGTGCTGTTGGGGATCTCCATTCGGATCTTCATGCTTGTGTAGCACTCTGTCAACTGAGACAGCTCTCCAACTTTTTATGAAAGTGCCTTCTGTTTGTGCATCCATCACCAGTTAAATTATGGAATTTTGGGTGAGACAGGTGAGGACTCCATTCCTTGGTAATCTCTCTCTTAAATCTTCTTGTGAAACTCTGAGCCCAGAATTGAAACAAATGGCATTAGGGGCACTTCTGTTTTTAGTCCTAGGTCAACTCTTAGAATCCATCTCTGACTATGAGCTATTAGGGTACTAAATCTCTATAAACATGTTACATAGAGAATCTTCTCTCTCTATTTATTCTTTTTCTCCTTTAAAGTTCTCAAAATACTATTTGACAATATCCAAGGCACTATCTTTCCTACAATTCCCAATCATGAATTCTTATATTCATCTGTCCATTCACTCAACAAGTATTTATGGAACACCTATTTTGTGATAGGAGGGTGTTTTAGGCAGTAATGATACCATATTGAGCAAAACAGTGTCTTGAACTTACAACCTAACAGAGAAAACAGACGCATTTGTAGTATGCCAGAAGGTGGTAAATGTTCTGAAGACAGAGTAAAGGTGTGTGCACTGGGGTGTATGGGGAAGCCTAAGGAAAAAATTATGCTAACAAAAAGATTTGGCCGAATCCTGCAGGGGAGGTAGCAAGCCATGTATGTGGTTAAACAGCAAGAGGATGTGCCAGGGAACCATAGGAATAATGTCCTGACATTAGCACGAGCTCATAGGTGTGTAGAAGAGAAAGAACCACAGGGTGGTGGCCATATTCGGTAAGACTACAGAGGTATTATAAAGACTTTGGCTCTTTCTCTGGGAGACACGGAAAGAGTTTGAGCAGTACACTGACATGTTCTGACTTCTACATGAAAGGGTTCTTTCAGACAACTTTGTAAAAAATAAGCAGAGAAAGGGAAAGTGGGGGAAGCAGAGAGACCAGTGAGTGGCAGTTTTTGAATAATCCAAGCAAGAGATGGCAGAAGCTCAGAAGATATGTGGACTATAGCAAGGTTTTCTACATCAAACTAAAGCATTACAATTCTTACAAAATTGTTAGAAATCAGAATGCTGCCAAGACTATTGGTGACATTAAGACATTATTTGTGGAGGTAGTTAAGAGTAGATACCCTTCTTCCAGATGACTAGCACTCAACATCAGGCAACTCACAACTGCCTGTAATTCCAGCTCCAGGGATCCAACACTGCCTTCTGTCTTCCATGGGCACCTGCACACAATGGACATATGCACACACATGAACACATGCATGCACACACATATGGATTAAAAATAAGTGCTTTAAAATCACACTATTGCTCACTATATTAGATGTTATATTTTCTGTTGCATTGGTCTTAGTCCATTCCTGCTGCTACACTAAAAGACATCTCACTGATTAATTTGCTAATATCAGTACTTCATTTCTTATTGTTCTGAAGATTGGGAATAATGTGAGGCTCCAGCAGAGTCAGTAGCTAGTAAAAGCCCATTCTTCATATGGGACATTTTCATATTCTTACATGGTAGAAGAACGTCTGTTATAAAACATCATGACCAATAGCAATTTGGAGAAGAAAGGATTTAATTAATCTTACACTTTCCCATCACAGTTCATCAGTGAAGGAAGTCAGGGCAGGAACCCAAGCAGAATCCATGGAGGAATACTGCTGACTGGGTTTCTCTTTGTGTTTTACTCAACCTGATTTCTTATACAATCCAGGACTGAATCCTCCCACATCTATCACTAATAATAACAATAAAATACTCCCATAGGCTTTCCCATAGGCCAGTCTAGTAAGAAGTATTTTCTCAATGGATGTTTCTTGTTCCCAAAAGCTTGTGTCAAGTAGAAAACAACAACTACTGAGGATGAGGGCTGGGTAGCAGCAGGTTGCTTTAAATCTCAGTTACCATGGCCAAAACCAGCTCTAGGAACAAGCCAATGAAGAACTCTCCTAAGGAAGAATGAGTATTGACATGTGATGCCCGTGAATCCTGCACAGGGCACAGTCCTGACTAACCAGGCACTGCTAGGCTTGGCTAGGTCACTTTGGAGATGTTCTGTTGGAGAATACTACCTGATTTGTTTTGGGATCTATGTCCAAAGATCCCATAAGCTCCTACAACAGTGCCACCAGATAGGGAACAAGTACGAAAGCACACGATAGTATAGGGGAATTTTCATAAGGCAGATAAATTAGGAAAGGGAACAGATATGTGCCCTTATTTAGACAGCTCTGCATTGAACAGGGCTGTGCCAAGGTGGGCACATAGGCACTAAGGTGGGCTTGGGTCCCACAAGTGTCCTGTTCATACAGTTCAATGCAGAGCTGTCCAGGTAAGGGCACCTTTCTTTTCTCTTCCCTATTTTCTCTGCCTTATAATCATTTATGGCATGTGACATCTTATATACGAACCAATTTGACTATTATTATCACCTCTTCCAACACCATTAGAAAGTGAGCTTTATGAGAAAAAAACTCTTTACCTAAGAATGAATGCTCTGGGGAAAAATCAGGAGTCCTTCCTTCCTTCCTTCCTTCCTTCCTTCCTTCCTTCCACTAACATCAAAATCTTACTGTAGATGATGGAAACGTACTATGATGAAAACACAACGGATTTTAAAACACTCATTAGATGGTCCTATGTCTAAGATACAAAATTAAAAACGTTTTTCAGGACATGTGAGTCCCAAAGTTTCATTGTAGATGCTAACACAAGGTTAGAAACGTTAAAGAAAGATCAAGATTCCTAGCACTGAACACACTGCCAACTGTCCAGTGTTCACTGCAGTGGAGTATGGAGCTGTCTATTCACCTAGCTGACTCTTGGAGAATTTGGAGAGGCAATGAAACTAACAGACGTGGGAGGAGTGAACACTCATACACATCAGTTTAGCTTCCACAAACCACATTAGTGCCCATGACACTTTCAGGTGCAGCCCAGGACGTCGTCCTCTTGTGGGTAGTTATAGCGGAGACAGAGAATGCAGCCCCGAAGAAGCGTATCGCGTTCACATTCTATATTTGACTTGTACTATATTTTCATTGCTGCTGGAGAAAGGTCCAGTGGAAAATGCGTGCTGTGTTCTAAATATATCCTCTCTATACCTGCTAGATTTAGATCGAAGCCTCGGGGGCACTGCTCAAGAGGTCACCTCCAGTGAAGCTCTTCGGCTGGCTTGTGTGTCAGGGTACCCCTGCAGCAGAGAGAGATAGGAGGGCTTCACTAGGGTGTCGCCCAATGCAATTTCCTTCCTTATCCTAGAACTTGAACTCTGAGTAGCTGGTGTGCCTCCTCTTACCATCTCGGCATACTGTCATAAACCCTGGGACATTTTCCAGCTCTAGCCTTAAGCCTCAGCCAGCTGTTTTTCTCTTTCTTTCTTTCCTTTCTTCCTTCTTTCTTTCTTCTTTCTCTCCTCCTCCCCCGCCGCCTTCTCCTTCTCCTTCTCCTTCTCCTCCCCCTCCCCTCCCCCTCCCCCTCCTCCCCCTCCCCCTCCTCCCTCCTCCTCCTCCTCCTCCTCCTCCTCCTCCTCCTCCTCCTCCTCCTCTTCTTCTCCTGTTTACTTGTTTGTAAAATTGTTTGACTGGCGCCCTATCACGCTCATTTCAGTGTTCAATTCTCTTTCTATAGGGTATGTGAGGTGGGGTGGGTGTTATAGCTTCCCAAGAAAGGGAGAATCCTAACGGAGTATTTCATTCAGCACACTCAACAGAGTTTAAACGCAGGCGTTCATAAATATTTATGAATGAATGTGTGCAAGGGTGAGTGACTGAACGGGTGAATGAATTTGATGCTTTGGAGCCAACTGAGGAGAAACGGGCTGTGAGAACCCGCTGAGGCTGATTTACCTCCGTAAAGGAATTTACTTCCCTTTCTTCCGCACCTTCTCTTCCGGCTTCCACCACAGCTTACAGGCAGAGCAAGACCTGACTGGACCCTGGGACTCGCCTACGCGGGGCGGAGACGCGCGTGGGAGGTGGGCGGGGGTGGGAGGGAAGGGCGGACCGCTAGCACTGCAGGGCGGAGCCACAACTCAGAGGGCGGAGTCAGTGGGGGTACTGAGGGCGTGTCCGTGCCCCAGGGGCGGGGCCAAGAGTGCGCGCCACGAGGCGGGACACCAGGGTGCTCCGGAGGGAGAAGTCGCACACGCGACAGAAGAGCCTCAGGAGGGCGGGGTCAAGAAGGTTGCTGGGTGGCTGCGGCCCGCAGACTATGAGGGTGTGGCCTCCAGGGCGGTCCAGTGGGCGGGGTCACAAGAGCTCTCTGGTAGGGCGCAGGCCTCACGCGGGAGGGCGGGATCTCGAGAGCGCAGGGAAGGCGGAGCTTCACGTGTCGGGGGCGGGTCTTTGTCACTGGAGGGCGGGGCCTCGGGCGCGCGCGGGTTGGGCGGGCCCGGCGCGGCACCGGGGCACAATGGCCTTAGCGGCCGGCTAAGCGCTAGCTCCTCCCGGTTCGCCACGCCGCGGGCCGCCCCGCTCATCGAGCCCTCGCCCGCACCGTGCGCCGGCGTCGGGCCATGTACTCGGGGAACCGCAGCGGCGGCCAGGGCTTCTGGGAGGACGGAGCGGGCGCCGAAGGCGCAGCGCCGACGGGCACGCGGAGCCCCGCGCCGATCTTCAGCCCCAAGGCGTACGAGCGCCTGGCACTAGTGCTCGGCGGCCTCGCGCTGTTGGGCGTCGGCGGCAACCTGCTGGTGCTGCTGCTCTACTCCAAGTTCCCGCGGCTGCGCACGCCCACCCACCTCTTCCTGGTCAACCTCAGCCTGGGCGACCTGCTGGTGTCCCTGTTCGGAGTCACCTTCACCTTCGCGTCGTGCCTGCGGAACGGCTGGGTGTGGGACGCTGTGGGCTGCGCGTGGGACGGGTTTAGCGGCAGCCTCTTCGGTGAGTCGCCCGGGACGCGTGCCCCTCGCCTCCCAACTTTCCCTGGGTACATCATCTCTGGGCTTTCGTCCTCCCCTCCAACCAGTCATCACCCCTGACTCCTCGTCTCTGGTCCCCGGGATCCTCCCTTCCAGCCCATCTTCACCTCCCAACTCCCTGTTTCTCTTCTCCTCCGGGTACTTCCATCTAGTCGTCATCCCCTGCTCCCTATGCAGCTGTACAGTTCTGAAAGTCTCCCTACCGCTGGCCAGCTTATATCTATCTTCTCATCTCTGTTCTGCTTTTACTGCCTACTGTAAGCTCAACAGGGCATTTCACTGTGGTCCTTACACAAGGGGGAGAGAAATGAGGGCCTGTAGAGTCAAGAGATGCATGAAAAAAAGTCAACTCCTGAAAGTGGAGAAGGGGCAAGGAGAGATTTAATTTAATATTTAATTAGTATTTGTTTTTCAAAGTGACACGTAGAAGCCCAAATAACGGTGTATTTTACCCCCTTTCATTCGCTAGCAATTATAAGCCTTTGAATGCTTCCCAGGGAGTGAGACCACATGACATTTTAAATTGTATTTCCTCTACACAGATTCTGTCACACCAGAGGTTACAAATGGCTCAGAAGGCCAACTCACTGGCGTGACTAAGTAATTAGCTGGGCAGTTAGTACGTTTAATTAAAGTACAACTTGTTGATTTCTTGAAGATTTATATAGAGAATTGACAGGTGAGAGCTTGACTAACTCAGTATTCTAGGCTTGGGAAAGACTCTGTGTGTGTGTGTGTGTGTGTGTGTGTGTGTGTGTGTGTGTTTGTGTGTGTGTTTGGTATGTGTGACAAACCTAAATCTCATGTTATTTGTCATAATTCCTTTTTTTAAGTTTTAAAGAAAACAAAATTTGGGACTTAGTCTCTTCCACTAATCAACATTAGTCAAGGATTTCCTTTATACAAAAACACTGAAACTTGAGGAGGGTCTGTAAGAGGATGTGAATGGAAATGTAGGTTGACTATGTGATTATTCTCTGTTAACTAGAAATGTTGGTCGGGAGGGTTTTGGGGCTGATTCATCTTTAAAGAGTATGATGTGTGTCAGTCAGATCTAGCTTGCAGAATCCCTGGGGTAGGCGACAGGTGTTTGTTCACTTCTGTGAAGTACTTTTCTGTGCTGTGGTGTTCAACTGGGAGTGTGAAAACAAAAATGGGTTGAGTTTTTTTGTTGTTGTTATTTTTGTTTTTGTTTTGTTTTTTAATAAGGGTTTGCAGCATCCACCCTGTTTGACCCCAGTTGCTCTGTCAGCCTCATCTTCCAGTCCTTTCTTCCCTGTTCCCCCTACTGGGAGCCATCCTTATCAGAAGAAAACATTTTAAGACCTCTAGAAACACCACCCTGGTGTTTTTCTAGGGCTCCTTTATTCAGGGCATTTATTAGTGCTTTCAATCAAGGCATTTATTCCCATCCTAAAGCCTGAGGCAGATCTTCTGGGCTTACAAGACTGGAGATCAGTTAACTCCTGGAGACAAGACTGATGTTACTGCAGAACTCACAGCATTCTTAGCAAAGATAACTTCTCCCAGAGTATGCTGCTTAAGTAGGGTTGAGTAGGGTTAAGGATGGAGTAAGGGAAGACTTCCTTTCCATCCCTAAGCCAAGACTAATCAATTCTGAGTACTAAAGGAGGGGAAAATTTTAAATGCCACCAGTCAATAGCTGCTTGCTCCAGAGCTTTGGTGAGGCTGCCACCATTGGTCTTAGTGGGGGCCTATGGCTACTTATTTTCCCCAAGTCATTCTCTCTCCCAGGCTGCCAGTTTTCCCATCTTTGTTATCCACTATTGAGCTGACTGTGTTTAAGGTAATCTATCCCGTTTGCTTTGTATTTTTGAAGACTCCTTTGACATCTGTAGGTTAGAAGTACCTATACTTAGTGCTTATAACCTGCTTCCCGCCTCACCGCCAGTCCCTTCTATGCTAGAAGAGGTGAATACATGTTTACCCTTTAGTCCTCCTCATAGGTTCTGTCTCCCTCTTCACACCCTGCTAGAAGAAGGGCGAGTAAGTAATTCACCTAGTCTTACATATTTGCACAAGTAGACGAGGCAATTGCTTCATTCTGGGCTCTCATCCTGGATCCTCCAAGAAAGCTAAAAATAATTATCCCTGATAATCTTGGTCCGAGGTTTCCACCAGGTGGGCTTGTTAGGATCACTGTTTCAGTTAGACTGACAGGTTGGGCCAGCTACCTAGTGAAGTTCCTGTAAATTCCAGTTGAATGACTTGGTTTATGAATATCAGAAGTATCATTCTCTTACGTCTACCTGCATCTAGAGGTCCGCAGATTTAACAGTAGTGAAAAGTAGAGAGGCCAAGGAACACTTGCTGCTGCTCTGCATGGTGAGCATAAAAAGACTGGCAGTGGGGTGTGTGAGTGTGCCAGCCTGCTGACTTCCAGGTGAGTATGTCCAAGGGAACAGCCTCCAGCCACACCCAGTATCACATAGACATAGCCGGCATGTGATGGGAGGGTACAGGAGAGTCCTTTCCCATTACTTCCTTAGAAATGAAAGCATGTTTAGAAAGAGATTTGTAGTTGCAGAGACAGTCTGGCAAAATGTAAATATCTCCTCACTTAGATGTTATAAATAGGTGTTATTTATGTTGAAATGGTTGAATACAGAAAACCAGGAACTTTCTTCTTTAACTTACACATGGACTTTGATACAGAAAATGTTACAAACACTATTCCCCTCCCAGCTGTTCTTTTAATACCTACACATTAAATGCCAGTTATTGAATTAATTCTCTTGTAATATCTGCATGTCTCATGTGTCTACTGCAAGATCCTTAGGGTAGTTCAGGATGTAAAATCTCCTATGCAGCTGTCTGGGATTACCTGTAGATGTTCCTGACTTCAGAAATATTCGCCATTATGTTCACATGGTCATTCAGCATAGTATGTTTGCCTAAACACAGTAAAGTCACATATCTCTTTTAGTCTAAGCTCACAATATTGTCCAGATACATTATTAACAATCAAATAATTGTATAATTTTTTTAAATTTTTGTGGGATATTGTGTTTTTGCCTCATGACAGTATTGCCGGGCTTTGGGGAAAGAATATATAAAATATCTTTTGTTCATTTTCAAGAACTAAGAAGACCTATGGGAAAGCATTTAATGACCTCCTTGGGCAGAGGTGTGTAGCCCCGTTAACAAGTCAGACTCCAGTGGATTGAAACTGCTGTTGCATGAAATTGCTTTTATATTATTTATCATTGTGTTCTTTTCTTGAATTTTCTTCTTTCAGAGAAGAGTTCCAGTCACAAATGCACATGTGATGCATGGTAACATTTACCGCTAAGGTGAAATGCAGAAATGAAAAGGACACATCCATTTGAGTATTCTCAGATATGATTACATGCACTTTATCGTGTTTTCCATGCTACTGACTTTTTTTTTAATGTTTAAAAATTGTAAGCGTTAAACAGCTTAGGACTTGGTTCTGGTTGAAGATCACAAGTAGAGATTTTATTACAGCATAAATACCTCAGAGGAGCCCTCGACCTAGATCCATACGGAGTTCTTTCATCAACTGTGACCTGAAGCCTCAGCTCCTAGGATGGCAGACAAGCTTCCTACAGAGTTTGATGTAGTTATAATAGGGACAGGTTTGCCTGAGTCCATCCTGGCAGCTGCATGTTCGAGAAGTGGACAGCGAGTCCTCCATGTTGACTCAAGAAGTTACTATGGAGGGAATTGGGCAAGTTTCAGCTTTACAGGTTTGCTCTCCTGGCTGAAGGACTATCAACAGAACCATGACAGTGAGGAAGACACGACCACCTCATGGCAAGACCTGATTCATGAAACAGAAGTTGCCATCGCTCTTTGCAAGAAAGATGAGACTATTCAGCACACAGAAGTTTTCTGTTACGCCAGTCAAGATGTTGGGGACAGCACTCAAGAGACCGATGCTCTGCAGAGAAGTCCTTCCCCAAAGGCATCTGCTACCCTGGCTGACTCTCTGGATTCTTCAGGTTTGCCTAAAGAAGGGTACACAGCAGACTTTTCAAGCCATGAAGCACCTTCTAGACATACAGAGAGAAGTGATACAGAGCCTGCACCATCCTTAGCTGACACCGAGAACTCACTAGAGAAAGAAAAGGATGGTGGAGATGAAACTTGCATCCAGACAGTTTCAGATGGAGATAAAGATGAAGACAAACTTGATATAGAAGACAGCACCGAACAACCAAAGAGAAATAGGATTACTTACCCTCAAATGATTAAGGAGAGCCGGAGATTTAATATTGACTTGGTATCGAAGCTGTTGTATTCTCAAGGATCATTGATTGATCTTCTCATCAAATCAAATGTTAGTCGTTATGCAGAATTTAAGAATGTCACTAGGATCCTTGCATTTCGGGAAGGGAAGGTAGAACAGGTGCCTTGCTCCAGAGCAGATGTCTTTAATAGTAAAGAGCTCACTATGGTTGAAAAGAGAATGTTAATGAAATTTCTCACATTCTGTTTAGACTATGAGCAGCATTCTGATGAATACCAAGATTTCAAGCAATGTTCATTTTCTGAGTACCTAAAAACTAAAAAGTTAACACCCAACCTCCAACATTTCATACTACACTCAATTGCAATGACATCAGAGTCATCCTGCACTACATTAGATGGCCTTAAAGCAACAAAAACCTTCCTTCAGTGTCTTGGAAGGTTTGGCAACACTCCCTTTATATTTCCTTTATATGGGCAAGGGGAAATTCCCCAGTGTTTCTGCAGGATGTGCGCAGTGTTTGGTGGGATCTATTGTCTTCGCCATAAAGTCCAATGCCTTGTAGTTGATAAAGACTCTGGAAGATGTAAAGGGATCATTGACCACTTGGGTCAGAGAATAAGTGCCAGCTATTTTATTGTGGAGGACAGTTACCTTTCTAAGGAGACATGTTCAGATGTGCAGTATAAGCAGATCTCGAGGGCTGTGCTGATCACAGATCAGTCCATCCTAAAGACAGATTCAGACCATCAGATTTCCATTCTGGTAGTGCCTCCGCTAAAGCCAGGAAGCGGCTCTGTTCGGGTCATGGAGTTATGCTCATCAACTATGACGTGCATGAAGGACAGCTATCTTGTCCACCTGACCTGTGTTTCTTCAAAAACAGCCCGAGAAGACTTGGAACCAGTGGTGAAGCAGTTATTCATTCCTTTGGCAGAAGCAGAAACAGACGAGGAAGAACTCAGAAAACCAAGACTCTTGTGGGCCCTTTATTTTAATATGAGAGATTCCTCAGGAGTGAGCCGAAGCTCGTACTGTGGCTTACCTTCCAATGTGTACATCTGCTCTGGGCCTGACTGTGGACTGGGCAATGAGCATGCCGTCAAGCAAGCAGAAACACTGTTCCAGGAGATCTTTCCCAGCGAAGAGTTCTGCCCTCCTCCACCAAATCCAGAAGACATTATCTTTGAAGGTGAGGGTTAGCAACCAGACATCCTTGAGTCAGTAACACACTTACCACCCAGCTAGACACCCCAAGGACACAGTAAGGACTTCTAAAGCCCAGAACACCTTAGAAATTGAAACTGACTGAAAGTATTTTCATCCTGGCCTCATAGTATTGTCATTGAAAGACAGTTGCCATTTGTGACAAGAGCCATTCACATGTCTTCAACACCGAGACGCTGGGTACCTAACAGCTCTGCTAATCTGTCAGCATCTGGTTTGTGGTGGCTCACCTTTTCCAGAAATAGCTTCAGGAATCCAGAATCTCTGAATGTCATTAGCTTTATTTTGCTTTTGGGTCCCGCATTAGCAACTTTGCTTGAGGTAGTATCGCACTTGCTTCTGTGTTTAGGTTTTATCATTGTCTATATAAAATTGATGTCTGCAGACTGCTACTACTGTTGCTACCATCTCGAGTGCATAGAGGAACACATAAATCATAAATGGTGTGAGTTCTTTGTATATTATGTAAACACATAGAGCTGGTAGTAGGAGTAGCAGCTAATACAAGTGCTAGTATGATAAAACACAACTGTTTAGAAGCTTGGCCATGCATGAGCCTGTATCTTGGGTTGATATTTACATGTGATTTCACCTGCTTAACTTTTGTCACTGAGGAGGCAGTGAGACTACCCTCGCCTGCTACTTCACAAAAAGAGTGCCCCTTAGTCGTTGAAGAACCTCATATTTACAAGATATATTGCAATCTAGGTATGGTTGCTTATTTATGTAGTGCTGTCATTCAGGGCAGGAGGATTGCTGTAAAATCCAGGCCAGTCTGGGCTAGTGTTGAGACTCATTTCAAAGCAAAACCAACCCCACTATATACCAAAGGAAGAAGCATATTATAAAGAAAATTAAAGGGACAAATTCATTCAGAAAATTTCTATAGAGTTGACAATAACACTTAAAAGAACTAACAATTAACTCAGGCTAACATAAATTAATAAGTGACCCTAGAAAAAGGTATTTTAGGATAGGTGTTTAGAAATTTTCAGAAAGGAGTTCCCAGGGAAGAATTGTGGTGCATCTTAACGTGGGATTACAGATGCCTGTAAAGTTACAAATTTCCCTATCCAGGCTTCTCAGGGTGAAGCCAGGATACCTGGTTGGCCTTATCCTTAATAAACATTGGTAACTGACAGAGTCCATCACTTCTACTACACGTCTGTTACCCGGAGAATGGGAAGCTTACGCTCTAGAACCATCTGTGGCATCCCAGCAGTGAAAGCCCTCTACTGTGAGAAGAGGCACAGTGTGTGAGCAGACTACAGTGTGGTCTGAGGATACTCTAGGATATGCCCTTCAGTGAGAGAAGTGAGATGACACATTTAAATGAATGCCAGTGTGCTAAGGGTAGAAAGCCATCCATTGGTCTCAGTGTTTTTTAATATAATAATCCATAGTATTGTATAGATCTTAAGGATTAAATGTAGCAGAACAACTGAGATAATCTGAAATGACCTAGAAGAAGCAATTAAGAGATTTAAAGTCACCAATTTAAGAGAATTAAATTCATAGTTTGTCAGACCACAGTCTTTTCAAAAGACATTAAAAGAAGGCATAATTGTAAAAGATAAACAGAAGTTACAAAAGACAGAGCTGAATGTAATAGAAATAAGGGTTAGACTAGGTCAAAGCAGGGGTTTGTTGTTGTTTTTGTTTTCCAAACATTAAGTGGAAGTGAAGTAAGGGAACAAAAAGTATTTTAAAAATATAAGGGACATTATCTAATTTTCTGATAAGTTAGAATGGATTTCGTGGTAGTTTTCAGGTTTTTAAGGAGGAAAAGCATAAATGCTGCCTTTCACTAATTACCTGTGACTCAGTTAGGGCTTCATACTACAAGTCTGACCACATCTCTCATTCTGACAAGGTGAAAGCTGTAGAGTGAAATGTTGGCCAAGGAGGTAACAGTCATCAGAAACAGTGTCTCAGGCTGAGAAGGCTTGTGTCCAGTAAGAGCAGCCCTGCATCAGCATGAACAGAACAAGAGATAAGAACCCATAATATTAACTGCACTAACTAGATGCTCCCATTTGGTTTAATTATGTTTGCTAATGAATTCATGGGCTTTTCATAACACGATAAGCAACTAATTAAAACTTACTTGCATTTATATTGGGAAAGCCAGTATGCACCATTTCTCAAGCAGAATGAACAGCTTTGGTACTATTTTTATCTGTATATGGCTGAAAAAAGTTGTCACTGGAATAAAAATACAAAGTAAAGATGTAAAAAGAAACCAGTGCAAATACATTGTATTTCCATGACTTTATACCTCACTAAACCTATATTATCATATAAATATGTTATGAACAGAAGATAATTTCATAAGCTGCAAGATACATTGTTTTTTTGAAATATCATTTCTAAATTCCAATAGGGATGGAATTTTAAGAAGTATTGATATTAATATATATGAACATCTTTAAAATGTTTGTAGCTGTATTAGAGCGATTTAAGAAAGATACTTAAATATAAGGTTTAATGAAGGAGCTAAATTTAAAATATGAGTATGCTACCATGAGAGATGTTTGCCTTAAAGGAAATGCTATAAACACAGGGAGACCACACATCATATATTATTAGTTGTCTGATCTGAAGGCAGTCACGTTAAGCTTCCATTTACCATCTATGAAACAGAAATAATACTTAACAGAATTATTGTGAAGATTAAGTTGGATAATGCTTAAGAATCCGTATCCAAAGTAATGCCAGCATGTGATACTTATAGCTGATATTTATTATAATATCATTTGTGATGTCAACCTTATGCTTTATGAATTTGCCAGAATTGTGATAAATTACACAGGAAAGTAAGCAATGAAAGATGTCTTCAGTTTTAGAGGGGAAAAATACAGGACTTTGCCCTTCAACTCCTTAAGGTGTCATATACAACCTGTCTAATTGTTCTGTGGTGCTGAGTTCAAGGAAGTTAAGACTTCTCAGCTACTGGGGGGGGAAAGTATTTAGAAGTTGCTCATAGGGAGACTGGATCAGTATGGAGATAAATTGTGGGCCATTTTTACCCAATAATACACTTTATTTGTTAATTGAAATGTTAAACATGAAAGTAATAAGAATACAATTTTTACCTCAGTAATGATGACAAGGAATGTTCTGGCAGGTGAACATTGACAAGGTAGATAAAATAAAGTAAAAAAAAAAAATAGAACAAGGAGAGAAGGTAGAATAAAGAAGCTGTTTCTATTGCATGGGTGTTTTTATTATTTTATTTTATTTTTTGATTTTCCATGACAGGGCTTCTCTGTAGCACCAGCTGTCCTGGAACTTGCTCTGTAGACCAGGCTAGCCTCGAATTCCCAAGTGCTGGGATTAAAGGCGTACACCACCACTGACAGCTTGTTTTTTTTTTTTTAAGATTTTTTTAGTGGGTGCAAATCCTGTAGGCTTTCTACTCTTCTTGAGCAGAGTATAAAGTGATAGGGTCATTTTGAAGAACTATTCAAGAGATTAACCAGACCTCTATAACTGATATTTTTGGCATCACTTTGAGTGGCACATGTCCAGGAAAATACTCAGAATGAACAAATGAATAAATAAAGCTACTTCTAAAAAGATGTTTCAGAAATTCCATTTGTAAGTTTTTTTTTTAACCTGCTGACTAACAAATGAATAAAATTTGGTGTGTTGCTAGTGCTATAGTAACCTTACAGAGAGTTAAATGTCATATGTAAGATTGTATGTAAACAGTTTGACAATCAAAAAGATGTTAGTTTACAACCAAAATTATTGTGTATTGGTTACATTTGTATAAAAATTTAGATCGCTACACTGGAAGAAATCAGAAGGCATGTAATTGCAGGTTAATACTTAATATCTTTATTTCTGTAAAATATTGATGTGTATAATAAAAATAAAAGATTAACTGGTGAAATGGTTTGCTTGATTGATGACTAAATACTGATTTCTTGAAACCATATAAATTCTTTAAATTAAAAAGAAAATACATTTCTAACTGTTAAAGTAAAAGGTAATTTCCAAGAATGTGTGTCTAAAAGTTTTCTCAGGACTTTGTAGGAAGGAAGTTTGATGAAGATGAACTTTTATCTTCCGTGTTTTTTCTCAGTTGTCTGACTTTAAGAGCTAATCATAGAAATTGCAGGTACATTCCGGCTCATCAATGTGAAGATCTTCCAGGGTCCAGCTTATGGTGCATGCCTGTAATGCCAAAACTCGGGAGGCTGAAGTAGGAGAATTGCTGTAAGTTTGAGGCCAGCATAACAAACCATCCAAGGCTATATAGACATCCTGTCTCAAGAGATAGAGAATGAGAATTACATAGTAATCCAAATCTAAAGTCATCCATCACTATGGAGTATGAGGGCCATGGAAATGAGGTCAGTTCACAGGTGTCCACCAGTTTCAGGGAGTCCTTTGCATTGCAGAGGGCACATCTAGGGACTGTGGATGCAGGTCAGTACTGTCTTCAGTCAGCTTGAGTGATCTGAAGCGATGCAACCTGACAAGCATCATCTAAACACCCAGTGAGACTATGGGTTGGCATCAGTCAGTTTAGGGCTTAAAAATATGAAAGCAAACAGGACATGTTCTCTACTTGAGAAGCCTGCTGGAATGTTACCCTAAGGTAAGGTGTCCTGCCTGCTCACAAGCACGACATTTTCTACCCACCACCCTTGTCCTTAATCTGAAAACTAAAAACAACCCTCTGACTGGTGATACATGCCATCTTTTTTTTTTCAATTTTATCCTGTAAGCTGTTCTTTTTAGAGTGACAGCTTGTAAGAACATCCAAACTTACCCCCCCCATGGCATTTCTTTAAGAGGGTGCCAAAGCTTTGAGTTGCATAGTTGGAAACAAGCTGCTTACTTGTAGAAATCTGCCCTATCCACCATTCTCAGCTGTGTGTCCTGTCTGGGGAAGAGGAATCACGGGAAACTGAGCCCAAAGCACAGGATGCTGAGTGTTGAGGGAGGTGAGAGTATATACAACTAAGACAGAAGTGGAGTGTAGAGCGTTTAAAGTACCAAAAATAGTGCCCTGTTTAAGATCAGTTCTAGTTGCCTTTGTGATAGATCTCGTTGAAGTCTTGTTCCACTGATTTTGCCTTAATTTACATTTATGTATTTGTTTGGGGTGGGGGCTGCTACAGTCCTTCTACTACAAAGTTTCTAGGGATTTAAGTGAAGTCCTTGGGCTGGTTGACAGGCCCGTAATCTGCTGAGCCATCTCAACAATCTTTTTAACTTTTATTATTACTGTTTATGTTTTTGTTTTTGAGACAAGATTTCACATTTCCAGGTTGTCTTTGAACTTGGATTTCAAATGAAGAACTTCTGATCCTCCTCTCTCTACTGAGATTGCAGGTGTGCAGTGCCACACCTAATTTGTGGGGTGCTGGAAACTGAACGCAGGGTGTCTCCTGCAAGACAAGCATTCTCCAGCTGAGTTACATCCTCAACTCCCTGTCCTAGCCTGTATTAGAATGAGATACTTCGTTTTTTAACCAATGAAAGAACACATTCATATTTTAACAGGGGGAGCAATATCTTCGGGTTTCTGTAAGCTTTGCTCATGTAAATCATGGGTGAGTCTACTTGATTATTTCATGGGCACTGGAATGGCAGTTTACTACAGTGTGTGTAGGACACTGACTTGCTCCCTCGAGGTGTCATTGTAAGGTAAGGAACGGCAAATCTTTATCCATTTTGCAGTGAGACCTGGGATCCAAGTGATGTGCCTGGACTCCTGCTTAATATTTAGATGGACCAGCATCTCTTAAGATGCTGTGTTTCTGCTTGCCCTGAATAGAGTAGGTTGTTCCACATGGGTGTGCAAAGCACATAAATCACGACTTGAAAAGTGATGGCTCTGAGGACTTACTTTCTAACAGATATCCTATGAATTAAAATTTGCACAACTTAAGCAGACTGGTCAGGGTTGAAAGGAAGGGGGAAGTTAATTATCCACACATACAAAACTTCTTTGTCCTGGTATTGCTGTCAAGAGCTTTACATTAAGTATTCTTACTGTCCTGTGATTTTAGCATTTACTGTTGCTGAACATGTATTTAATCCTTTATACACTCCTTAGAACTACTTCAAAGGCATACCCACAAGAGGAAGAATGGTGAAGCTTATGATTGGCAGGGCGTCAGGAAGGTGGGTGTTTGTAGTTCACTCAGAAGGACATGGCATCTTTAAGCATTTTATAGTTCATAGGAAATAATTCTAGGGGGCATCCGCTCAGAAGGTTTCATACCAGAGTATTACTTGGTTTTGGCCTTTCTAGGCAGCATCTCTATAGCCTAAGATGACCTTGTACTTGCTGTGTAGCTAAGAATGATCTGGAACTTGTAACCCTCCACCTTTCAAGTTCCAAGATTATGGGTGTGCATCACCATGTCCCACTCCACTTGTTTTTGCTGAATGCCATATAGTTAAAGTCCCCGGACCCTCTGTCTTTCGAGATTTACTTGTTCCTTTATTTATCTCATATATACTATTATGTCAACCTAGTTAAAACAGTCTTTGTAAGTTAGCATCAGTATGTTTTAGGCTTATAGTTAAACCTTATGAATAAATCTCAGGCCTCACACATCTTAAAGAAGAAATGCCATAGAATATCTTGCTGAAGATGCAGTGTTCTTACTTCCAGGCAGTCAATAATTATGAATTTTCCTATTTTAGAATCAGCCTAGAATGAACCAATAAGACCATTTTTAAAACTACAAATTTTAATTTTAAGATGTTCAATTAATATTTTTATTAATTTTCTACCATTAGGGCAGTCAGTGATTCTCAAACCAAGACATCTGCCTTCCAGGAGGCACTGGGGAATGTAGGGAGTCTTTGCTGACAAAATGGGAAGGGGAAAGCTAACAGCATGTAGTGTGTTGTGAGACTGAGGTGGGGTGCTGTCCTCATGCAATGCTCAAGGAGGCCACCTCACAACAAGTTTACCCAGCACAGACATCACTGCTGCCAAGATTAAGGATCCCAGAACAAATGAATGTCCTTTGGAACCTCATTTCCCTGTGCCCATCATCTGCCTGTTGTCCTCAGGATTTCTAACTCAGTCACTTGTTCTTTGTCATTATCAGCAGGAATCCTAATCCTTCCACTGGGCTGCTTCATATTTATCCCCTGCAGCCACCGATCTCCCTTCTATTATGAGCTAACAGTGACTTCCTCCTGGAGATTTCTGATCATGCAAACAATTCAGAGAATCAGTTAACACGCCCTACCCATCCTCGAATCTTCAGTTATGAATTAGAACTTCCACAGATTAAAAAAAATATTTCCAAGAAATAGAATAATTCCAAGACATTTAGAGATGAGGATTTTTTTCATATGCTACAGATAAAAAACTATAGCATATGAAAACAGCATATTTCAAAATGCTCTTTGGAAGGGTATCATGTGAAAATTCTCATTACATGCATCCAGCAGGCTCCCGTGAGTTTTAGAGGAGCCATCAGAAAATGAAATAAGTTGCCCACAATGGAACTGTGGTTGCATTGACAGGGTTCGCCAGGTGTTGAGACAGTGCTGCAGACAGGTAGTTAGTAGAAGGCATTAACTGTAGGAGATGCCTAATCATGATGGGATACGCATTCTTAACACAGAAAAGCCTTGAGACTGTACCACAGCTAGATGCAGAGGCTCCAAGACAACCAGCACTCACTGGTTATCCCAGTGTCTAGGCTAAATTTTAGGAGTATGGATGCCAACAAACACCGGGCACTTACTGTAACCCAGTTGCTCCTGTAAGTTCTTGTTATCTTTTCTGTCATCCTTACTAACCACCCAGGGTAGGTGCTTTGATTGACCTCATTTTGCAGAAGGGAAAACAGACACTTTGAAGGCAAGGAATTCGACGAATGTCACCCGGTTGGTAAGTGGTAGGGGGGCATGACTGTGCTGCAAACTCTGCCCATCTGATACTGTAACCCACGTGCCTTATCTCCAGAGAGGGATCAGATCCAGTTTAGGGCCACCAGAACTGCATACATTCCAGGAACTGTCCTTGTCTCCTCCCCATATTAATTATTTTTTAAGCAGCCCTGTGATAGTAAACCCTGATGTTTCCACATGGGGATCAGATAGACTGTTCATTAATTCCCAGCATCACTGGAAGGTAAGCAGTGCGGCTGTTAGCCACTATCTTATACCAGGCTGTATGAATGACTGGGAAAATAGGCATAGACCAATGAATGCCCAGGAAAGTTACATGTAGGGAGATCTGAGAATGTTTCACAAATGAGAAGGGATTTGGGCTGGATCTGAAGGATGAAAAGGATTTAAGGGATTTGGGCTGGATCTGAAGGATGAAAAGGATTTCCATAAGATGATACAAGGGAAAGCATTCCATGACAGAAGCATGGTAGAAACGAAGTCCTTGTTTGACTTGACATGAACTCCCACCTTTCTTTTAGTTGTAGGCTGTTAAGATTACTAAGTATATTTTCCCTTCATAGGCAAGGACAGTCAGTTCCTTTATAACTGTCCCAGAGTAGGTTCTCACTGAACCCAGCCTCTGACATTTCAGAGTCATACTATAGGGCTCCTATTTGTTTTTTATTAGGCACCTACCTATGCATGGAGACTGCACCACTTTGGGCTTCCAGTTACGTATCACAATCCATTTACCTTTTCCTCATTAGAGAAAAGCACATGGCACACACATAGTATAGGAGAGAGATTAGAAGCCAAGGGGAATATCAGTAAGAGCTTACTTAATTTAGTGTCGACTTTGCTTTAGTGTTGGATATGTCCACTCATGAGACTACACTTATAGACTTTGCCTGAAGGATGGGTGTGCAATCACTGGGAATTTCTTTAAAAATCTCCAGGCATCTCTCTAGTATTGAGGATCAGTAGACTTCCAGAGATCATTGAGTGGGTGGAGGCAGG